AGGAACCCAGAGGTGGGTTGCAAAGCAACCCACCGAGGGGTCATGTCTATGAAACTTAATAAGTTCAATTATTATACAGTGAAATGGCAAATTGAATAATATTTATAAATATAGTCAGTAATAGAACTTCTAAATGTAATAATATAAGTAACTTATATCTTTATTAGTTGAGGTTACCTTGCTTAAATGGCTGTACGCCAAAAATATTTATTCTATGATACAAGCAGCTAAAATAATTGGAACAGGTATGGCTACTACTGGTTTAATCGGTGCTGGTGTAGGTATCGGTGTTGTTTTCGGTGCATTAATATTAGGTGTTGCTAGAAATCCTTCATTAAGAGGACAATTATTCTCATATGCTATTTTAGGGTTCGCTTTTGCTGAAGCAACTGGATTATTCGCATTAATGATGGCTTTCTTATTATTATACATTGCTTAATAATATTAAACTAAGTCAATTTATATTAATTTAAGATATTTAGATATATAAAATAATATATATATCTCCTCCGTGGGTAGCGTAGCTCCCACGTCAGGGTTCATAATCCCCAGACGCGGTGCGGAACGCACCGCGGAGGGGATATACCTAATAATATATAGGTATTAGGTTAACATTATAATATGGTTTATTTGGTTATATTGTTAATTTAAAGATATAATAAGATAAAAAAAAATATAAGGTTTTAATAATAATTATAATAATATATTAATATGAAAAATAGTTTTGATATTGTTAAAGTTAATTGATATAACCCCTCCGCAGGGAGCGTAGCTCCTTACGTTGGGACATAAAAATCCCATAACGCGGTGCGGAACGCACCGCGGAGGGGTCATTCCATTAATTATGACATTTATTTATAATTATATTGACTAATAATAATAAACTTTTAGAAACAAAAATAATAAATAAGGTGAATTAAATTTATTATATAAATAAAAAAATTTATAATGACAACAACAACTTTTTTTTTATTTTTAATACCGATTTTAGCTATAATATTACTTGCAGTTAATTTAATACTTTCTCCACATAACCCATATCAAGAGAAAGATAGTGCTTTTGAATGTGGTTTTCATTCTTTCTTAGGACAGAATAGAACACAATTCAGTATATCTTTCTTTATATTTGCTTTATTATTCTTATTATTTGATTTAGAAATATTATTAGTTTACCCTTATGTGGTAAGTGCATATACAAACGAAATATATGGTTTAGTGATTATGTTAGTATTTTTCCTTGTATTAACTTTAGGTTTTGCTTTTGAGTTAGGAAAAAATGCTTTAAAAATCGAAAGTAGACAAACTTATAGTTTTAATTATAAATCTTGAAGTGGTTATTCTTTAATTTATAATTAATATTTATAAATTAAAAATACCCCTCCGTGGGGGGCGTAGCTACCCTCGGAGGGTATATTTGAACCCCCCCCCCTCCCCTCCGCACCGCGGAGGGGGTATTTTAATAAAATTTTCACCTCACCGTTTTACACTTCACCCAGGTAGATAACACAAGCCCCTCGGTGGGTTGCGGTGCAACCCACCTCAGGGTTAAGTGCCCAGAGGCGGTGCGGGACGCACCGGCGAGGGGACCCATGGACTGAATTAAGAATAAATGAATAAATTGTATAAATAAAGAAATGTTTTTAGATATATTAAAAGGACAATTACAATTGGATGCTCCAACTCCTTGAGGTCTATTTTTCCAAGATAGTGCCTCACCTCAAATGTGATCTGGGAAATCACTAGCGGGGTATAAACTGCCAAACTCCGGGGACCTCCTAAAGCTTCTGATACCAAGCTGTAGTCGAAAGGCTATAAGTGGCTGAAGTAATTACTCAGGTAAGGTAACAAGTCAGAAGATTCTCGAAAGAGGAATGGAATATCGCGGATCTAAGTCAGAATTAGCTTCCTGCTATTCTGTAAAAGAGCAACGAGTAGACGGTAGTTGATGTGGTAAATTATCAAATAATAATTTACCTCATTTAAGATGTACTCTAACGGGTTTCGAAAGAAATTATCAAGTCAAAATCCCTTCTACTCAAATAGTAATAAGACCTAGATGATACTCTACAACTAGATGTAATAGTATATTAGATATAAAACATAATTTAATTCTAGATCCTAATTTTATAACAGGTTTTACAGATGGTGAAGGTTGTTTTACTTTAAAAATTACAAAAAGTAATAAAGTAAAATCAAGTTGAGCTATTAAACCTAGATTCCAAATAAATTTTCATAAAAAAGGTTTACAAATATTGGAGTCAATCCAAAGTTATTTTTGTGCAGGTCATATTAGTAAAATGGGGTCGGAATCATACCAATTAAGAATTGATTCTATAAAAGACATTCAAGTTATTATAGATCATTTTGATAGATACCCGTTTATCTCACAAAAATTTGTAGATTATCAACTTTTTAAACAAGCTTATGTGTTGTGATTAAATAAAGAACATTTAACACCTGAGGGTTTACGAAAAATTGTAGCTATAAAAGCTACAATGAATAATGGTTTACCTGAAGGACTTAAAGCAGCATTTCCTGACTTAATACCTGTTTTAAGACCTTATAAAGAAGAGATAATGATTAATAACCCTCAATGACTAGCAGGGTTTGTTAGTGGGGAAGGTTGTGTTATGGTTAGAATAAGAAACTCTAATGCAAGCTCTAATGCAATTGTAGAATTAGTTTTCCAAATAAATCAACATATTCGGGATGCACAGTTAATAACTTGTATAGCTGAATATTTAAATTGCGGGAAAATTTACAAATATTCTAAAAATGCTGTAGTGTTTAGAGTTTCTAAATTATCTGACATAAATCAAAATATCATTGCATTCTTTTCAAAATATCATATATTAGGTGTAAAAGCTAAAGATTTTAAAGACTTTTGCTTTGTAGCAGATATATTGAATAAAAAAGGTCATTTAACTAAAGATGGTTTAGATTTAATTAGACAAACTAAAGCTAAAATGAACACATAAAGAAATTTAGAGGATTAAGAATTAAATTATTGTATCGGGGGACCCTTCCGAGGGCCCTTAGGGAGGTAAGGTGGGTCAATTATATTTAGTCGTTTAATTACATAATGACTTACTATTTGAAAGATAAATTTGGCTAAAGTGCAAATGGAAGGAATAGAGGAATTACATAATAATATTATGTTTTATTTAGCTATTATATTATTCACAGTTACATGAATGATGATAGTAATTATAAGAAATTTTTTAGCTACAAAATCTCCTATAGCTCACAAATATATGAATCATGGTACATTAATAGAGTTAATCTGAACTATTACACCTGCATTTATCTTAATATTAATTGCATTCCCATCATTCAAATTATTATACTTAATGGACGAGGTTATGGATCCTTCATTAGTTGTATATGCAGAAGGTCACCAGTGATATTGAAGTTACCAATATCCTGATTTTACAAATGAAGATAACGAGTTTATCGAATTTGATTCATATATAGTTCCAGATAGTGATTTAGAAGATGGTCAATTTAGAATGTTAGAAGTAGATAACAGAGTTGTTATCCCTGAGTTAACTCACACTAGATTTGTAATTTCAGCTGCTGATGTTATACATTCTTATGCTTGCCCATCTTTAGGTATTAAAGCTGATGCATACCCAGGAAGATTAAACCAAGCTTCTGTTTATGTAAATCGTCCTGGTACATTCTTTGGACAATGTTCAGAAATTTGTGGTATACTTCATAGCTCAATGCCTATTTGTATTCAATCTGTTTCAATTAAAGACTTCTTATTATGATTAAGAGAACAAATGGAAGGTTAATTAATAAATAATAATATTGTAAGTTTATAAAAGATAATCCATGGTAAGATTAAACAAAAATTTATATAATAGTATAAAATATAATTACTTATATATATTACACAGGTAATTATAAAGGTTATTTCTATTTTAGCTGCTATTTATTATTTGTTTATTATTATTTCCTTAAACTATATAATTAAAATAATATTTATTATAATATATATATATATCCTATACATTCAATATAGTGGATAAAAAAAAAA